AGTGGTCCTTCCTCACCTCCACCTGGGCTGAAAAGACACATCAGGAAGGTAAGGAACCCTCAGCCCAGACCCAACAGAGTACGATTCTCTTTTCTGTCCACTTGTCCACATTGACCAGAAGCTCCTGAGATGGGAACCTCCTCACCCTTCTAGCCCAGGCAGGGCAAGGAGCAGAAGAGCAGCGGGATGTTTCATTCTGAAGCTCCCAGACCACCTGTGTGGGTGCACAGGAGGCTTCAGGGCAAAGTCAAGTGCTGGGGCTTGGGATGAGGAAAGAGTTGAGATCTCTGTGGGAGGATGGCCCTGAGGCCTGCTGCACCAGCCTCCTTCCTCTACACAGCCATTCCCCTTTGTCAGGTGATGTGAGGAATGTGCAGAGCCCCTGAAAGGTTCCCGTGAGAGGCTGGGGTGGTCTCTGGCCTCCTGGGGAAGCACAGTCTTGCCTGACAGCTCCGAGTCTATAGATCCCAGTTGGTGAGTTTCTCGGACAGAGGAACAGTGACAAAAGACACCCATGGTGGATCTCACATAGAATGTGCCTCTTTGTGTTTCCCAAAGAAGAGAAACAGAAAATATTTTCAACTACTTTGAAAATGAGTATAAAGCAAGAAGACAGAGGTCCAACAGCTAGATGCATAGGGTCACATCTTCCACGAGCCCTGGATGTCAGCAGCTTGTCTGGGGTGAGTGAGGACAGTCCCAGCCCCTCCATCCTTCTTGTCTTTCAGCCTCCAGTGCAAAGGAGGGGGAGGCCCAGGAGCAGGAAGAAGAGCTGCGGTCTGAAAGGTGAGGCTCTGCACCGGGCCTGGAGCCCCAGGGGGACTTAGCTTTGCTGCTGCTAAGAGTTGGCTCCCCTGGAAGTCAGCTGCAGGGGAGCTCCAGGACTGAGGGGCTCCAGGACAGAAAATTAGAACCCAAGATTTCTCCCACATCCCATGCTGGGGATGAGGAGAGGAGGGCTAGGAGTGTGTGCTGCCCTGTAAGGGCCTAGATGGGGGGAGGCTCCGTCCAGGCCTGACTGTGGACAGCCTGACTAAGCCTGGCTAAGGCTGCTCCTCTTTGAGGTGAGCCCCATCTTCTCCCCAATAGAGGGGTGTGAGCAGCTAGGGGGAGGATGTGGAGCACTGAAGCACTTCTTCCTGTCACTCTGGGGTGATAATGGCCATCCATACTGATGCATGGGCTCAGGGGGCTAATCCCCATGGTCTGTCCTAGAGGAACACTCACCCTCCTGCAAGATCCTAGGCCTCTCCCTTCCCCCCTAACTTAGCTCCGATTTCCAGCTTGTAGAGAAAGCCTGAGGGAGCCAGAGGGGGCTCGGGACCTGCTGTTACTTCCGTAGAGGTGAGGGGCTACCACTTCTCTCACTGTCCTCCTTCCTATCAGGGCCTGGGAGGCTACCCAAAGGCCTGGGGATGACTTGGGAGGGGAGATCAGGGAAAGGGGACAGGATGTGACTAGAGCCCTGGGGCCTGGGAGAGGCAGAGCTCTGTGATGTCAGAGTGGAGGCAGAGGAGGGGCCAAGGGTTGCAGGTGCCCACCCTCCCTGGCCCCTGGCCCCACCCACCCTGCTGCAGCTGGTGCCTCCTGTCTCCTGCAGCTCGCTGAGGAAGCTCCCTGACAAGGGGGGCTCTCATCAGCTCTTGGGCAGAGACCTCCTGGGGGACATGTGCACACCAACACCTGCCAGAGCCCACCAGCCACGTAGGGAGCATGTGAAAGATGCTTCTCCTGCTGCCTCATCCCCATTGGCTTCTCCATCTCCCCTGACTGGGCAACCACCCCTGGCCTCCACCCTGTCACCAGGCCCAATGACCCCCCCAGTTTCTGCTGGATCACACTCATCCCTGAGTGGCCCTGGAACGCCAGAGCCTTTCCTTCCCCGAGAATGCCCTTCACACCAGCCACGGCCATCTTCCCCTCCCACACCGCAGTTCCCTGCCCCCGTGGCCTACCTCCTGTGTCCTCCTCACTCCAGCCTGGCCCATCCTCAGTGTGACTCAATGGCACACTCACCAGGCACCGTCCCACAGAGCTCTGCTCCACACAACAACTGTTCGCTGTCTTCTCCCATCTCATCTACCTTGGGCCTTGGTCACTCCAGTGATTCGGTCTCAGCCCTCTTCAGGTGCCAGGCGTCTGTCAGAGCTGGCTCAGTCCAGAGCCTCTCCACCTCACCCCAGGACACATCCCAGCAAGGGCAACTTTCCAATCATACACCAGAGGTTTCCTTCCGGGGAGACGCCACACACAGGCAGATGAAGGCTGGTGGCCCCTCCTTTGACAACCCCAGTGTCCAGAGCCTGGTGGGGACACTAATCTCCAAGCAGCCAGA